AAACTTGGAAATAATAGTTTGCTGTCAGACTGGTCTATTTATAACGAAATAAGTTTCATGAAAATGTTCGTTTGTTCCATTCATCATCTACGTGTTTTCTATAAACGCTCGCAAAAACTCGCAATCTATTGTTGCAATACGATAAATATTTAATTTTATAATATTGACTTTGTTATTAATTTAATTTTAAAATATTAACCTTGTTATTGCTTAATTCTCAGTAATTGCTGCGCGTAAAAATTTCATTAATCAAACAGTAATCTAGCAAAGCATCCGTCATTGCATTGGAATCGTAAATAGAAACTGAGGCAATCTAGCCGAAGTAGTCGACTGCTGCGCAGTGACAACAGAACACAACTCCCACAGTGCTGGAACCTTGATTACCATGCAACATGGTTAATCTTCGAGTCCTAGAACGGCCACGAACTAGAAACAATGCTCATCCTAAATCTCGCGATACACTGGATGGCTTAATGTTGCTTTGTCCGTCGAGACTTCGCGATTTCTATGCCGCTCCTTCGTAAACGTCCTTTCATTAATTGATGAGTTAGCCGGAATGCAACGGACGTGATGCAGCCACGTTCCTCTCATGTTAGTAATTTAAGGTGGAAATGGTCCTGAACATTCTGTACATTGTCGTTTGTAAGTAATAACTACCAATTAACCTAATTGACGCGACATTTTATTTATTATTCTATTCGGTAAATCTACACTGTCAAAGTCTGTTTCTTAATGTCGTGGCTGCGAAAGGATTTCGCTTTGATATTTATCACCTCCACTCTAGCTTTACAATTTTAGGAAATTTGAAGACACTTGCTGTAAAATTCATTGCTTGGTCTCTATTCGTCTGGATTAATAAATGTTAATGCAATGCTACTCATTGAATTGAACGACGGATATAGAGAAGATCAGAAGAAGTAAGAGTGATAATCAAACAATTTTATAATTGATTTAGTTTGCACAAACAGTATTTCTTTTAAATACCAGTGTGTTTGAAAAAGAATTTATATATCAATGCATAATTAAGCATGAATGAATTACTGATACTCAATTTTATTTGGTTGATCATGGACAATCATAGATTGCGAGGGACGTTTGTTTTAACAAAGCTCGAGTCATTGAATTCGAGAACTACGAAGGTTTATCTGTCTTGCATGCTGAAAAGTTGGTAGAAAGCATGTGCTGGAGATTGGATACACTATTAATCGAGCGCGTAATAGTATTATACTTTCGATCTGTGCAAAATTTTGCACATACAAAAAAAAAAAAAAAAATTCTTTTCAGAGAAATAGCATCCACATTCTTCTTAAATACACTGTAATAGTCTTAAGAAGCAATACAATAGTAACAATCCCAGTCGCGCAACCGTCATTCCAACAGACTTATCATCCAACCCACGTCATCGGTGTCCATTTAATAAAATATTCATTTCCACGTTGCCCTTCTGGAATAACAGCTACGGTTGCTACTCGCGTACATCTTAAAATCCCAATTAAATTTCCAATTTCAAGCATCGACCGATTAACTGTCAGGGCCATTCCATTCGTTCGTCAGCGTCGCCCTGAAGAGAAACCTACGAATCGAAACTTTAATTAAGTCTCGCAAGTAAAACCACGAGGATGTACATCCCATCGAATCGAAACGGGAGGGGGACGAAGTCTCGCCTTTAGCGTACGCAATTAACGTCCTCAGCTATTGTTGCACCTTGCGTTTTTAGGGATTATTATTAATTATTTCGCACGTGTGTCCTTCTCCTCGTCTCGCGCGAGAACAACGCGGACGCGCGGGGCTGTTATCGTTACGAAACGCGTCTACCAGCCGGAATTTCAAATTCACCGACGTAATACAAATTTATGGGACACGGTGACAAAGCGATGATACATCAGCGCGCAATAGCCGTGACACGGATCCATATTCAGCGGTGGCTGAATGCTGGCTGTGCGTCGATGCCTTCGTCTCGACGGAGCGCGTTTCGTCCATCCGTCACCGTTGTCCCACGGTCCTTGGGACAATTTGCGAATTAAATCGCGCGGCCTCTCCTGCGTCTTCAATTTCCCAGAGAGCTCGGTGATTAATCGCTGCTGTTACTTGCATACGCGTCGTGCTTAACCTCTTAACTGCGAACGACGAGTATACTCGTCACGAAGAAACGGCAGTTTCTCTTTTTTCTTTTTTTTCTTTTTTCGAGTAACGACTTGTTTTCGTAGTTGTGTACTTGTCACGCGGAGTAATTATAATTTGTCGCTTGTATCAAACTTTCTTGCGGAGAATGAAACGTATTTATTGTGAATTTTGGACATACTTGGAATACATATTTCGAGACTAGACTCCACTAGTTCTTTTTACATCGTTTCCAAGTAAACATCGAAATTGTTATTAACACCGTGAACGAAAAGCATGCAATAAATTTTGAAATATATATCTTTCAGTATATTTTAACACGTTCTCTTTTAAACTTTTTATATACGTAAGTCGTCATTTTACAGGAATTTTCTTAATACTGTCTATTCTAATCAATCGGATTCTCTTCGAATTCTCGGCAAACAGAAAAGGAAAGACACACGAACGTTTACACAAGAAAGAGTCGAAATTGAACGCAACCACGCATTGAAATGAAACAACAATCTTATTCATACGGCGCGCGTTCCGTTTTCCGCCAGTTTTCCCGCCTTTTATGCTCTCGTGTTTGCATGATCTTCGAAGGACGCGCGATACATCGGTTCAGAATCGCTGCGTAACAGAGGATTGTATCTGGCTGCTCTGGCACGGCACAATCGCACCAGGGGAATTCGATATCGATGCACCGGGCATATTGAAGATTGATGTTGTTTTTATACGAACATCCTCGTTGTATTGACGCCGGGCATTCATGATAGCGGCGCAATGATAGATCGTTGTAACGTGAATTCTGCTCATCATCGTGCTTTCATATCGGGGGCTCCAGACTTGCTTTTATGAAATCGTTACATCCTACTTACGCGGAATGGCATTATTGGCTGGGCAGTGCTTACTTTTCGCTTGACACGGAACTCCACCCTGTTATTTATCATCCATGAAAATCCCCGCTTCCTACAAATTGATTCTCCGCTAACGAATCACATACGTGCGCGTGAGTTTAAGTATGATTCGGATTCTTTTTTTCTTTTTTTTCTTTTTTTTTTTTTTTGGTGACAATTTTAGAGAGATAGACGGATTTTATTTGTGTAAAAATATTCGAGTCTGTTGTGTTGAATGGTATACCCAATACTATTTTTCTGTTGATTGCTGTTATTGAAAATAATAAATTTCAATATGTTTTTTAAAATATTTTTAACAATATAGTAAATGGTGTATATTATATATCATGTAGTAATAGTAAAATGGTATGTATATAATAATAATAATAAAATATTCATAGCAATAATAAAAAAAAAAGTTTTTTAATGTTTCGTAATTTGGATATCCTTTTAATAACATATATTTCAAAATAATAGACTGAAATAATTTTTATTCGGCCAACGAGTAAGAACTTTAGAAAAAAATCTTGTTTTAGACACGCGTAAAGTAGAACTTCGTATTCTCAACTTCAACAAAAAAATATTTATGTCAAATTTCTAAATATTTTATAATGTGATCCAACATATAACTTTAAATATTTTATAATGTTGCCGAAGTATCTGAATTAATTCTTAATTGATAAAAATTTTGTCATCGAAGATATTTGCATCATTATAAGTTTTTGAAAGTTATATGTAAATTTGATTCAAATTGTTTTCACTGTCTCATTTACATATTCATATTACATGTTGTCAATATTTTTATATTATATCTCAGTTTTAAGAATATTTCATATGCTCTTTCTTAGACAATGAATGTGTACAATCAACAGAAAATAGTATCCTTATTATTTATTTCAACACACTTAACAAGGATTCGAGAATTGAATAATTAATTGACTAATTAATTCATTACTCTGGTTACAAAAGTAACGATCGTACAAATATTCGTTGCACAGAGTAAAATTCGATGGTGCAAACTAATTTTTCTGTCATTAAACATTACGAACTGGCACGGGCACACAACCTTTCCCTTTCACGTTTTTTGCATTTTTTTTTTTTTAATTGCAGACGAAAGTTACTAACAGAATTAATTTACGGATTATTTGTATTTTCATTGGAAATGGACTTCGCAATGCGACTTCGACGTCAACGACGGGAAACACGACCATTCGGAGGGGAAAGCAAAATCGCGTAATTGCGATTCGAGTTGAAAATATCGTTCGGCACGGTCGGCCAGCGAGCAAAAAAAAAAAAAAAAGAAAAAAGAAAAAAAAACAAATTAATGAAACGGTAACTTTATATCGATGTTATCGTTTTGCTAGAATTCCAAAGAGAAACAAACTAATGAAACACTGGAAAACTTTGTATCGATATCCGGCGGAGCCTGTAACGAAAAACAAATATCGAAACGGTGTAAGGATAAATGGCACGAAAAGTGTAGAAATCTGTAATTGCATTGTTCATATGACAGATGAATATCGAATTGAATATCAACTAATCGTTTCACTTGCAGGCCACGCTTGCTCTCTCGTATTTTTAAGCTCGTTAATTCTTCGCATGCGTAAAATTTGTCAGAAGTCTAGGAGTTTAATATTGAATCGGGAGCATACGATAAATTAGGAATACATTCATCTTCTAATGTATTTATTCAATGTTTTACTCTTTGAATCTCTAATAAATGAACCAATTATTTTATTGTTCGTTATAAATACTTTAGTAAGAATTAAACTTGAAGGATTAAAAATTCCCTAATTAGCCAATAAGAGTTGCTAAGGGTTAAAGGATTAAAAATATTCCTTTGAAGAATAATATTTGCAATATCATTTCTATCAAAATTTCATTCGAAATGAAAATGAAAAATAACAATTCGAAATAACGAATCATTTCCACTAGTTTATTATTTATTAATAGCAAGAATTAACCACAATTAATAACAATACCTTGTTTCTTTTGTTGTTACAGGTAAGCGTCTGAAATAGTACCACGAACAATATTATGGGTGAGTCAAGCAACTTTAATATTATTACCTCATCAAGGAGCAACGTTCAATTTATAATTTTTTCCACTTAATTAACACTGTTAGATTCAATTAATATTCTTAACAATATCGGCAAGAACGAATACAAAGGGATATCCTTAATTCTTTCACCTAAGTTTCGTAATTTGAAGTACCAAAATATTGAAGCATATGAAATATTATAAAACAAATTGTTTAATCGTATTATCCTTTGGCATTAAACTCGCTAGAATAAGTTCTTTAGAGTAATAGATTAAATCAACGACAAAATGAGCATTCGCTCGTGTCAACATCCCCATCCTTCATAAACTAAAGAAGAGAGAAAGGAAGAAAAGAGACGACACAAAAAAAGGACACACGTCCCGCGACCCAGTCGATAGTCCAAATTAACCGAATTATCCTCCGGATTCCCTCGCAGTTCGAACGAGAACGAAAACAAAACTACAAGTAGAAAGAAAGAAAAGAAAAAAAGAGAAGAAACGTAGCGATCTCTGAGAGGGATGGATGGTGGTTCGCCGGGTGAAACAGCTCGTTCCACTTTAAAGAGTTTCCACGATAATCGCGGGGTCGTAGCATGCACGCCAGCAGCCCGGTCTCCCGGTCTCTCCTTCTATTTATCTTATTTTTTGCCGAGCCACCGCCGTCCACCTCCGTTCCGAACGACTCCGAGCACACCGAGTGAGTAATTATTCAAACAAGTAGAGTTGCTGCGTACCACCGTCGCGTCGTTGTTATCGTCCCTTTCTCTCGCCGCCTCCTCCCCCTTGGGCGACGTTAGCCCTGCTGCTGGAACGAAGGGTGAATTCGGTGAAACGGAACCACCCTTTGGTCCACGATGGCGGTGTGGAAGGAGGTGAAGGAGGCGAAGGGCGTACGCGGACCGCGCTCGGGCGTCTGAGTTGTATATATAGACAAACAGTCGCGCACACGTGATAAAGTTGGAGGAAGTAAGTTACAGTTATACCGGCTAACCTCGCGAATGAAGAGTTATGCCGAGAGCTTCTCTCTCTCTCTCTCTTTCTCTCTTTCTTTCTCTCTATGTCTCTGTTCCTCTTTCCCAACTTACCGACTGGCTCAGTAGGGATTAAAACACCCTCTGACACGCCGGGAGGGGTGGAAGGGATGGCCTCTTCTTCGGGTTTGCAGCCCGCAGTAGTAACCCTGTTACGAGCAACGAAACCTGCCACTGGCTGCCGCGATAATAACGCAGTGGCTAATTTCCCCGAGTCGCGCGTTGTTCACGCGCGATAATACGCCCGTGATAGGGTGGAAGGGAGAGAGAGCGCCGTGCCTCCATCTACCCTCGCAGAGACATCCACGGGTTTCCGTCTTTCCGCGCCTGGTCTCCTCCGGCTGTCTGGCTTGCTTACCCCTCTTGGTTAAATGGAGCGTCTGTGAGAACCGGTCCTCCGGCCGCGCTTCTTTTTAAAGCGGCCGTTCTCATTTTAACGCCGCGAGACCATCGGGATGACTCTAGTTGGTTCGTTCTCCTCTTTTTTTTTTTTTTTTTTTTTTTTCCCCCGAGGACGTTGAGAGGTGATTTTCGAGCTCGTTGGTTACGAAAGTTACAGCCTCAGTTACGAAATAAACGCATTTTGCAAGTGTATTAAGTATGATTCAGACACGTAATTACATTCATGTGAAACGTTAATGCATACTAACGCATACAAATTTAATCAATAAAAAATGTATATCTTTCGATATATCTCGATTGCACAATTTTAAGTTCGTTTATATAGAACGTTTGTTGTACTACTAGAACTACCAACGACTAAAGTATGATGGTTATAGTAAAGAAATTGAAGGTACAGGGAAAAGTTAATAGTACAACGAAGAACACAAGCTTCTGTTAATGTATTTTATTAAAAATCACTGGAGTATCTAAAAATATATTGCTATGAATGTATAAAATTTCCATAGACAATTATAAATTGATCATTTTGACCACATTAGTAGTGGTAGTATTAAACTTTTGCTATTTAAGTATTGTCATTAAAAATTCGTCCAACGTTTCAAATCATTTTTAACTTATTGCTAGCAATTACTGACTACGGAACTGACTTCATTTATGAAAGTACATCATACAATTTCATAAAATTACATAAAATACACTCCAAGTGAAAAATGAAAACTTGCGCTTTAATGTTTCAACCGGTATTCCAATTTCTTGCGTCCGTTTGCGAATTGCTCGACAATAATTGAAGATTGCGAGCAGGTTAATGTGTTGCAGGCCGAGGAAATCTTGCCGAATAATTGCGCGTAATAACTGTGACCACTTGTTTGTCCAACTATTATCCTTAATACATACTTCAGATGAAATTCTAATTAAGAAACGTCGCTTAAAATTTAAATGCACTTTACATAAATGAATACCTGCACACGTTCGTTTGAAGGCTGACGATTGTTATGTTAATTTTTAATTAGAATTTCACTTTAATAGCCAAGTTTAATTTTCATTGGAACGGAAGAGCAGGAGGGGGGGGGAGGTGAATTTGCATATATCTGCGACGTGGAGAACTCGTTGGACGTGGGAGAGACTTTAATGAAAAAATAATACTCAACGCGTAATAACACGCGATCAGTTCGTAACTTCGCTTCGAACGCAATATCATTCAAAAGCGAGTGACTGAGTCTTTAAAACAGAAATAGCTTTCCCCTTTCTTTCTTTTATCTCGAAATGTCGAATTTTTTTTTATCTTCCCTCTCGAGCACAAAATTTTCAGAATTTTCCGCGCGCATTCTAACCATCTTGAAGAATCATCTTGAATTTATGTTCGTTGCGTATTATTTCATATCACCGTCGCGTATTTTCAGACGTGGCCGATGAAACTCCATCGTTTAATCTTCGAATATTCGTGAGAATTTTCGACCAAACCCGTATAATTGCCAAACGATTCCCAAGGAAGCGGGACAAATATCTCGCATAAATTCAGATATTATATCATATCATATTATATCGTATACGTATTACTTATAACACACCGTGTCGTACCGTATACGTGTTCCTTCTAACACACCGTGTCGTACCGTATACGTTATTACTTCTAACACACCGTGTCGTACCGTATACGTATTACTTCTAACACACCGTGTCGTACCGTATACGTATTACTTATAACACACCGTGTCCTACCGTATACGTATTACTTCTAACAACAGACAACCCTGTTCCTTTAATTAATGCCAGTTTCGTCACACTGCGAGAATTCATTTCGATTTTCAAAAAGCCCGCGAAAGAAAAGAAGGAGAGAAGTGGAAGAGAAAGGAGGAAAAAAGAATTAAATGGGAGAACCCGTTTCGAATTGGCAACAAATGTGATAAATGCCGGAAGGTTTCTCTTCGCGCTTCTTCGAATGTACACCGATACGAAACGGGCCGACAGCATTACCATAAAGCATTAATATGCCAGATCCCGCGGAGGAGGCTGTCTTCTGGAAAGCGACGTCGGTGTCTGCTGGTATAGAGAAACCACAGGGAAAAGGGGAGAGCGAGACAGAAAGCGAGAAGAATCCTGGGAATCTCGCGAAGGGAGACCGAGAGGGACCGAGCGGGATGGCGTGTGCCTAAGACGAAGAGAGGCCAAAGACACATCCATCCGGCAGTTTTTCACGCTATCCGGATCCTCGATATCCGTTTCAGGCGAGCTTGTATCCTTCCAGCACGCGGCGATACAAATATGTATACGTCGGTCTCCCGCGAGATGAAATGAATTTGTCAGGCGACTCCTCCTCGGGAATATCGTTTCTTCCGCTTCCTCGTGCTTCCTTCTTCCTCCTCTTCCTTCTCCTCCCACTCTTCCTTGGTTGCCCGTTTGTCGCGCGCGTCTCTTTTCGCTCACCTGCGCGAGAATCGATCGGCCTTGATAGCACCGCGTCCCGGCGAGGGATCAAAGAACGAATTCGATGATGGGGAAAAAGAGACGCTGGTGACCCGTTCTTCGATCGAGGGGTCAAAGAGAAAAGAGGGTGAAAGCACCCTGATAGAGTGAGAAAGAGAGAGAGGGAGAGAGAGAGCGAGAGAGTGATGAAGATGTTAGAGGAGGGTGTGTTAAGGGAAAATGGCGACGCTGTTGGAGTTCACAGCGAGGGAGAACGACAACGGGGGAGAAAAGGATGAAAGAGAGGGCTGGGGAAAAAGGGGGCCTAATTTTATACGATGCTTTTCGGATAGCAGCGCAAATTCTCGGCCGCGAAATCTGCTTTGGCCCGGGCAAACTTGCCGAGCAAAGAGAAACTCCTTTCCTATCCCACTTATCTGGATGAACGGTCTCTTTCTCCGTTGAAGGTCCGGCGTTTCCGCTTCGCTCTCCGTTGAGTAAAGGGTGGAGGATGGGATCGAGTATCTCGTAAGTAGGTCCGGGTCTTCGATCGTCGGATTTGAATCTTTTATAAGTATTTCCGAACGACGGTGGTGTTTCTAAAAGCGGAGGGCGGTTTCGCGAGTGGTTTCGGAAGCGGAAACAATACGTTCGCGAGTAAACTGATAAATACAAATGGGAAATCGAGCGCCTCGAATTAAGTAAATTCGTATCTTCTCTCCAGAGGGAGCGAATTTGCTATAATTTTCAAATGTTTCATTCATATCAAGGGAGCTGAAAGATTATTTGCAACCTAATTTTTATTTTTTTTATTCGTATTATTTAATCCTTCTTTCATTATAATTGTTCTCTGATTATAATGAAATATTATACATATTATATATAATATATAATATGTATTATAATAATACATAATATAATATACTGCAATATATATATAAAATATAGAGTAATATATTATAATAATGTAGAGAAATCGTATAATGAAATATATAATTTCTCTGATTATAATGAAATAATACTAGCACTATTATTAGTTTTCGTTTTCCAATTTGTCCTTTGTTTTCTTCAGTCTACCATTTTACTAAAATTGCTTCAAATATGCATAGAAACTAATAATGAAGATAATACTGAAAAGCAATTAACAATATTTTTTAATTTAGGAAATCC